CTCCAGATGGCAGCCTGCGGCAAGTGCAGCCGGGCTGATGGCCGAGTGCTGTGATGTGCCGAGTGTGGGCACTCCGGGCACTCCAAGCCAGGACTGCTTTGCAAGCGGGGAACCCCTGAGAACTTTCTGTCCGGGGTGGGGGTCAGGACCCTTTAAGCACAGCCCTCGGCTAGCCTGAGACAGCATCTCCACGCTCTAAGTCCTCCTCTGATGCCCTGCCGGCACTGCTTCCGGCCATCCTTAAGCCCGGTTCAGGGTCCACTTAATGTGGACATGCTAGTTCGAATTAGCAAAACGCTAATTCGAACTAGTTTTTTAGTCTGGATCTGTTAGTTCGAATTAGCTTAGTTCGAATTAACTAATTCAAACTAAGTTAGTTCGAATTAACGTTGTAGTGTAGACATACCCTAAGAAACATATCCCAAATGAACATCCATCAAAATTTGCCCATCCCGGGGTGGGCAATAATTTTGAAGGGAGGCCCTCTAAGAAGTTGAAAACTGGTCAGAGACTGCACTCTTCAATAATATTGATAGAAGAGGTTGAGGGTCTGGGATGGAGGTTGGGTGCAGAAGGGAGCTTGGGGTACGTGACTGAGGTCCAGGAGTGGTGTGGGGTTTGGGATGGAGTTTGATGAGGTCATAGAATCACAGAACATTAGAACTGGAAGAGACATTGAGAGGTCATCGCGTCCCATCCCCCGCCCTCATGGCAGGACCAAGCACCATCTAGACCATCCCTGATAGATGTCTAACTAACCTGCTCTTAAAGATCAGGCTTTTCTTTCATGAGACTGCTAGAGAATTGAAAAATCAGGGGTTCACTGATTGCCATCTTCTGCCACAGAGCAGCAGGCAAGACCAAAATACACTCTGAATGGGTTCGCCGTCAAGGGCTGGGTGTGGTTAAGACATGGGTGTGAGAATCAGGACTTTTCAGTTTTCTTCCTAGAACTGCCACCTACTGCCAGTAGACAAGAAACTTTATCACAAACTAATTCGTCTTTCTAAGGACCGGGATGTATTGGAAACTGCGTTACAATGACAAGCTCGCACTTGCCCGCCTCTCCGCTTAGGGGACCAGCCTGCCTTGTCTCTGTTGTAGAAACGTAGGGATCGGAAGCCTAAGAAACAAACTCATGTTACGTGTTGCAAACTTCAATCAAGACTATTTTAGGTTTTCCGCTAACCGTGGAAGGGCATCTCGCCCGCACACATACCCCCTTATCACTGGGCACAGGGTTGCTAGGTGGTTTCCGTGGTGACGTCCACCCAATGCCATTCAGGCCTGTGAGTGGTCCCTTTGTTTGTGACTGGCCCCGCTAGCCGGGACACTTTCTGTCTCCTCTCTTCTGGGGTTAAACAAAGAGTCCAACAAAGGAACAGAAATTCTTCAAACCCTCCCCTCCACCCCCAACTCTCAAACCAACTTACCCTACCAGGGGCCCACCTCCAATAGAGGCCTGGACCTCCAGGCTGTAGGAAGCCAGAAGCAGCTTCCTGAGCCTGCCTGCCATGGCAGACCTGCAGGCTGGAAGGGAACTGGGGTCCAAGGCCAGAGCTCGGATCTTCATCCCCTCCACCCCCAAACAGGCTGCAGGCCGTGGGAGATATTAGAAACCGGGACGGAACTCAGAGCCTCTCCCCAACCTCCCTCTATGGGCTGTAGACCATGGGGTGAGTCACGGGAGGCCGGTACTGACCTCCAGCCCCTCTTGCCCCAGTGCCCAGGTGCAGGGCCCACGAGGAGGCACCACAGGCTGGTACTGACACCTGGAGCCTTGCCCGCCCCACAGGCTGCAGGCCATGGTGGGGCTACGGTGTCTGAACTTTCAAACAAGAGGACACCTGGGGCCTGCAGGTGCTGCTGCAGCAGGGGCAGCTCCACTTGCAAAGCAGGCCGGGCTCAGGAGTCGGCAAACTCGTCCCTGTGCATGCCAGGCTCCAGGCTCTGCCCGCTGCTGTGCTCCTGCTG